GTTCTTCTCTCTCTCTCTCTCTCTCTCTCTCTCTCTCTCTCTCTCTCTCTCTTTCTCTAGCGTGACATGGTACGATATTACATTCAAAAAGTAGAGGAAAAAGTATGATGAACGAGATCGTGTACAATAAACATTTCTATAACAGGAAGATAAGTTTCGTGAATCTCTGTTATATTAATGATTTAGCTTGTATAAACATAATTTATAATTATAGTTTTAGTAAATGAAAAATATTTTTATTGGGTAACTTCATCAATAACAGCTACTAGTAGCCAATTTTTTTTTTTTATGAAAACTTTCACTTTTTACAATGCAATTGAAATGAATATTAATCTTTATCGAATTAATTAAAAAATGAAATAAAAAATGGAAATACTCAATTAGATATAATTTAAAAGGTATTAGAGATATATTAGTACAATTATGTATATACATATATTTGACATAAGTGTCTCTACGTAAAATAGAAAAATTATAATAAATGATTTTAAAGTTGATTATTTCAAAATTGTTGAAATATTATAGATATTATATTTAAAATTATAAATAAATAAATAAATAAATGTTTATTTATGCAAATACTTCACTACACATAAAGAATCTCAAAATAGTTACAGAAAATAAATAAATAAATAAATAAAAATGCACTACATAAATATTAATTTTTGTAAAAATTAATGAGTTTTTATTTTTTCTACATTAAGACGATTGATTAAATAAAAATTCAAATAAAATAATAAAATTTAGATGTAATTTTTGAGAGAAAGAAATTATGATATTATATTCAAGTATCAAACAAATTTTATGATATGCAAATGTCAAATATAGCACAATGGACTCACAATAAACACGACAATCGTTAGATCTAAAATTCCAAGTTTCGGTTATTTCAGATCTTTATTTTTCCTTTTAAGTTCGTCCCTGATATGAATGAATTGATTTTCATTTTATTATCTATCAATAAATATAAAACATAACAGCATTTCTTAATCACATAATTCTCAATCCTAATCTAATTATAAAATATATTTGCGCATTATTTCTCATCCATTATTCATTTTTATCGAATAAAATAAACTAAGCAAAAAATTGATAAATGTGAACACAATTATCATCATATTTCAAAATAAAATCACACCATTCCAAAACGTTAAAAATTCAACGTGCAACGTTCTCTACTTATCGGCTCAAGAAAAGGCTAAGAAGCACTCCTTCCAAAGAAGACCGCCCGAAGGAAGCTAGATCACGCGAAACTTAGCCAAAAAGAATCCTCCTTTATTTAACGAGGCTGCGTCCCCGTATTATTTCCTTGCGAAATTCTCTTTTCTCGGTCCCGCCGGGCACACGGTCTCATGCTCTGTTTAATGCAATTTCCACTGACCTTATCTGGTCGGACAGTTGTTCGGGTAGGAGAACAGAGCGGTTCCCGCGGGGAAAGGTCTCAACGGGTATCCCCACAGGCAATAAATTGGCGCTGCTCGAATCAACTTTTGAATTACGGCACGAGAGAGCTCGTTACGAGGGCCGGCGAAAATCCTGTTAGCCGCGTTGCAACCGTAATGAACTCGTCCAAGGCGAAAAGGAACGGTTACAGCGGGACGGAAGTCGTTGCCTTTCGTATTCGATTTACCGTGGACGGAGGCCGCGTCTCGGGGAAACGTCTCGGTCGGTAATTAAAAGTCCCTGATCTAATGTACCGGCGGAAACGTAGCTTGAGGTTTTGCCGGTTAACTCGTTCGATTGAGACCGATGATTTAGGTTGGGTGTGGAACGCCTTCTATTTCTAGGGAGGGGAAAAACTGTACTATAAATACGTAACAGTTTGTTGTACATCGATTACATAGGATATTTGTCCCTATACAAGATGTTCACAGGTGTTTGTTATTTTAGCTTTCTCGCTGGTTACAGATTTTTGAAAAAATAGAAAAGGTAAAAATTTATTTATACGTATAATACGAATAAAATTTTTCTAATTTGCGATGATTTATGCAAAATAAAATTTTTATGAGTATGATTAAAGAAATGGAATTTAAGTTTTGTCTTAATTTAATTATTATTATATATATCCTTTCGAAAAATCTTTTAATGAAGTATAATCTTATTTTATAATGTGGTATAATATCTGATATAATACTATAGTCATATAATAATAATTAATAAAAAAGTAATTTAATTTAATTTAATTGAATGAGTTCCTAAAAAAAAAAACGTGTATTTCATAAAATTTCATTTACATTTCATAAAATTTATAAGAAAATGTAAAAAAAAAAAAAATAGATGGTCATAACAAGCCTCTTCTCATATTAATAATAAAAGTAAACAATAATGAAATTATTTTATTAAGTGCAAATATAACGTTGAGTACAAAACTTATTATTTTTAAACAAGAAATTAAAGTATCAAACTAAGATAAAAGTTTTGATAACATAATTTCTTTTTCCACTTTCTTATCACTGTTCATTCTCTTTTCCTGCGCAACTTTTGATCTTTAATAGCGCTCTCTCGTCTGTTCCCCAGAAAATTTCGAAAAGTTTGTGACATAAAAATACACACATTTAGATAACGTTTAATTCACGCGCAAATTCTTCGCCTTTTAAAAATCTACAATAATTGGCTCAAGAACTTCTTCTTTATTTTCATCATCAAAATAAATTCCTAAAATATGAAATTAAAATTAAAAAAAAAAAAATGAAATATTATAAAGCATACAAAATTGGAAATATGCACTGGAAACTATTTCAATTATGAAAAACTTTTAAAACTGACTACGTACATATCCTAGACCAGCGATCTGAAAAAAAAAGAGACAGGGGGTCGAAATCGTGTCTCAGTGGCGAATTCATTATCGATACCGCAGATATATCGGCTGATTTCGCATCGAACGTTCTCGAACGATCCGATAAGTTTTGCAGTTGAATCTGCGAAGTTAAGCGGATTGGGAGAACCGGGAAAGGATTGGCCGCCACACGCCCTTAACTTTCAGGCCCGTCGAGCTCAATCTGTAATCCGATATCGATTGAATTCCCCTTCGATTTTTCTCTCTCTCCCCTTCTCTTTCCCACCCTTTTTTCTTCTCTTTCGTTCCACTTATTTTTTTTCTTCCTTCTCTCTTTCCTATTTTTCTTCTTTCTCTCTCTCTCTCTCTCTCTTTTTTCTCGTTTTCCCTAGTTCGACAGCGCGCAGTTGAACGACCCTCCAACCTCTGTCGCGCGACATCGAACGCCGAACGAATCTCGTTTCGTCTCGTTGCGACAGCTGCTTCCTTGCCTCGAAATCGAATCGATCGAGTCAGGATATCCGCGTATGAGGGTGAATTAATTGATACCCGGCTCGGAAAAGTGCGAACCCAGGAGGAGTGGGGAGGAGGGTCAAGCGGCGAGGATTTTAGCGATAAAGGGATTTTAATGGGATTAACGCGGCGGAATCGGATGATGTAGCCTGATCGACATCACCCGACCGAGAGGAAAAATGATATATCTTTGAAGTAAAATTTTTTTTTGGGGGTTAACGTAGCGCAACATACCTTTACCTCGCGTGGGCAGACAGGTAGAGCTCCGTTTCTGTGTGAATTCGTTGGGGGCATAGCGATTCATATAAGTGGAAAATTTACGTAATAACGAGCGATTTATATTCCCATTACTTATGAGTTTTCGTTCGAATAGTTGAAATTTACGTTAATTCAAATGGATTCAATCGTATAATTAAGATCTCGAATCTTTGTTACATTTAGAAAAATAAAATTACTAAACGATGTTGTAATTAATTTTCTTTATTTTACGTCGAATATTTTTATTATACGTTAGATTAATAAGGAAGCATACGGTTCAAATTAACAAAATGTTTAAAATATTAAGTTAATTAAATTAACATAAAATAATAGAAATACATTTGATCAGTTTTATTCTAAGATTTCATTGTAGGTTTCTTTAAATTAAATTCAAATTCGTGTTTGAACTGGTAATGCTTTGTATCAATTACAATAGTTGTATTCAGATTTGATCATTAAGCTGCTGAAAGAATAACTAGTTAAGTAATAATTTTATTTAAAATACATAAATAACGTAATTGTATATAAGTATTATATATGATAGATATAATAGTTGATCCACCCTTCGTATAATAAGTTCAGTCACTTCTATCTGCCCTCCTTCTTTTTTAAATTTTCTCTTCTGTGATATCATTTTTACGCATAATTTTTGATGTTACTTTTATATCGATGTCTGTTTTCGTTTAGATAAAAGCACAGCAATTCATATAGGAATAGGAATAAATCTAATACTAATAGTCTAAATAATTAATCAAAATTTCGTTTGCATAAACAATAATGTTATGGTGTTGAATAAAAGTAATTATTTATAATTTTTTTATTTGGAAAAGTATGGTAATTATGAAGAATATGAAAAATTTTCTTTCTATTCTTAGAATATTTGAAGTACATCGTATAATAGTCTTAGTTATTTTATTGCTTAACAATTGTTGTTACAACAATAAGTACAAAACAATTTATACATTGTTTTTTCTTTAAGAAGTTGTTTTTTGCTGTTCTTAAAATATAATATTATTGTACATGTATATATTAATACATGTTTCAGATAAAAATTGAATTATTTCAAGGAAAGCATATTCTGATATTATTCAATATGAAAATAATTTTTCTTTTTTAAATGAAATCATATAATTTTTAATATATTAATGTAGTTCTTTATTTTATACAAAAATTATTTCTATTAAAAAAATCGTTTGTTTAGAAAATATTCTAAATTTAAATTTATAAAATTTATTGTAATATAAAAGAAATAGAAAATACCTCCTTTGTTCATGCTTTTCTTGTCTTGTCATCAAATTGAAGTATTTTCTAAATTAAACTCAATAATTTTTTATAGAAAATAAGCACTGCATTAAAAATTATATGACTTTATTTAATAAAATGTAAATCATCTTCATATAATCTATATAAAATTTATTATATCTTTATAATAAATACTTTTTTAAAAACATCTTTTTAATAGAATTCACATTATATTTTAATGCTGTGAATTAAAGCGACATGCTAATAAATCAGTCATTAATTTAGCGACTGTTATCATTAATTCGCTTGATAT